CTGCTCCACTTTGCAGTGTATTTCAGTAGATCTGCCTGCTCTGCTCCCTGCTCTGTCTCTGGTGAATCTTCTCACTCTCCTGTAACTCAGCCTTCAACCCAGCTCTTCCATGCATAAATAAATGAATCTTTAAGAAAAAAGTTCAGGATCACAGGCATGACACACATGGGAAGCCAAGAGACCCATACTAGTGAAAAAGTCAAGAGAGAGGAAGTTTGCCACCTTCTTTAGCACACAGATGTCTCATCTTAACATTTAAAAGAATTGCAGTCATCGGGTCCCAGTAATAGTTACCTTGGAATGAGGGGTCGGGGGCTGAGGTTATGTGAGTGGAGATCCCTAAAGATCAGCTGGTCTTGAGAGACTGGAGAGGGCAGAGAATGTCCCTGGGATGGAAAAGATCCCAGGGACAAATTTTTCCTAATTGGCAATTAGTACCAGGCTCTGGACTATCCACAGTTTTGTCCCGGGAGGTCATTCTGAAAGAAAAATATGTTTGCCCTTAAGCCCTTTCAATATTCTTTAAATTGGTATCAAATCACTGATATTTAACTTCTGTCCTCACAAACTGCCCACCATTGAGCTGCTTTCTCATCTCTGTCATTGTCAATATTAAATTAGTAACATAATTTATACAGTTAATTACACATACAGGCACATATGTATTACATCTCTGCTGACTGATAACTTCAAATTCTTTTCATCACAGTTAAATTTCTGTCACTTTGTCTTTTCATTGTGTCTACCTTGCAAAACTGCAGGTCCAGAAATTTCATCAGAGGCTTCTTCTTCATTAGTATATACAGTCAGATGTCACTATATAGACAAGGAATTAAACGGAAATATTTCCTTTAAAAAATACTTGATATTTTTGAATTTGAAGTGAATTGTTGTTTCTGCCCAGAAGCCTGTCTATGTGTTTCCTGTTTGTCTCTCCCATCTCCATGGAAAATACTTAGCTCCTCTACCCCATGTTCCACATATTTCCAAGTAAGTTCGCTTGTATTATAACTACCAAAATACAACCCAAAAGGAGATGCTGACTTTCTCCTGCCACCTGTAAAATAACTTATCATCTTATCCATCCTCTGTAGTCTTCTTGAACCAATATAATAAGGAAACTCTTTGTCTTAGAATAATCACTTTTTTAAAAAGATGTATGTATATATACAATATGGGCCATTCCAGCTTGACTTAGCCCCAGTGTTCATGCTTGCCTTTGATTTATTTGCCATTGGAGTCTAGTCCCCAAAGACACCCCTGATGCGAATGATGTGGCATGTCTTACCTAAAACTTCTTTACGTACTGTATAGTTTCCAGTCTTTTCTTTAATTATCAGAGCAATCATTTTTATTTAAGATTTATTTTCATTTATTTATGCATACAAGAGCAAGCATTAGGCCAGAATTGCAGGGGGTGAGAGGACTCACCAGAGACAGATTTGGGACCAGAACAGGTGGATGTTACGAAAATACACTGTAGAGGGGAACATTAAGTGAGACAGAAGAGGTCTGCTGTACTAAGTGAGTCACCTCCTGACTTGAACTCAGGCTGCCCTGGCTGGTGATAACTTGATTGCACTGAGACTTTAACCCCCGTGCCACCAGAGAGGGACAGCAGTTTCCAGTATTGCATCCAAGACTTTTCTCAAATATTGTGTATGGTCAGAGTATGGCCTCATTTCCTTTTTCTGCATGTGGCTATGCAAATGTCCAGCTGCGTATGCCAAAAGAATCTTTGCTTTCTCCGTTGTATAATCTTGGCTCCTCTGTCATGCCTCAATGCCCATATAATTGAGGGTTTTTTTCTAGACACTCAATTCTGTGCAAGAGGTAGAATTTTGTTAAAATCAGTGAGGAACATACTTTAGACTAGCGATTGGTAGTGGTGAAGCTGAACACTAGGTAAATGTAATTGACACCTGAAGGACAGTGCATTAGTGGTCTATGCTAATTTGGGGAGCTGGTGGTCATCAGATAATATTCAGGTGAGAGAATGAAAAATGAAATTGCTCTGTGACCAGTGAACTGGGAGAAATTACAAGAGGTTTAATTTAAAAATACATAATACTCATGATGCCTGTCTCACAAATCACCGTGGGTCAACCCACATTACACTCATAGGTTACTGAGAAAAGGTGTATATTAGGTCACAAAACATGTTACTGGCTTCCAAATTAGCCTTAATTGTCATTTGTGATCATCTTGATCCTTCTTGCCAAAAGTACCCTCAAAAATCTTACTGCTCCACAAGTTTCCCAGACCATCAATGTGCCCACCTTGACATCACAAAATCAGCATCTTCTGCTGAATGTGTTG